TACCTCTCCCGCCTGTCTCCTGTTCCCCCATCCCATGCTCTGGCTGCCCATTGGTTGCTGTTTCCCTGCCCTGGCTCCCATTTGGGATGGCACCCAAGCGGTTTGGCTGCCCTTGTGCCATTCCTCGGTGTGTGACCCAGCCCTGCTGCCCTGCCTCTCCCCTCTGAGAGGCACCGCTGGAGTGGCTCGGTTATGCGTGGCTGTTCTGGGGTCACCATCACTCTTCCTTCCTCGCTGGGAAGGAGTCCTGATCGCTGCCTGAAGGGAGCTGATGGTGGGAGCACAGGGAATGCCAGCCGATAGACCACCCTGCCCGCTTCCTTGGGAGCTTCAGCTGACTTGCTGATCTAAGGAAGTGGCTGTCAGGTATTCGATCTTTCTGTGAAATGTGGCTTTTAACCCATTATGAGACGGTGAACGAAACATCTGTCCTTGGTTTTATTTGTGTTTCTCTGTGCCCCAGTGTGTGGTGGTGGCTCTTTGTGCGAGATAGCCGGAGAGCACCGAAGCCTCGTAGGATGGCTTGTAATTGCAGGGTTGCCGGCCACAACTGTGCTGCAGAGTGGCTGTAAATCACTCTGGTTTCAGCCTCTGCTCCTGCACCTCCTCCCTGGGAGGGAAGAATGGTGTAGGTCTGCGTGTGCGCGTGGTGCCTGCAGGGAGAGAGGAGCGGGGGTAGAGGGGGATTGTGTTTGAGCCAGAATATCAGCACAGCAGTGTCTGGATTGCAGCCGGTCACCGTCGCCATTTGCCTGTAGGGATCCCGCTGCCTTCGGCATTGGGTGGGCTCCTGCCTGTCAGGGGAACTGAGGCACGCTGTGCCCAGAGCGAGTGTCCCCAGGGACACTACTCCCACCCACAGCAATCTCATTGACTGCCCCCTCCTCTGTCACCCAGACCGAGTGACCATGACTGAGAAGACACAAGAACCTCATGTAGAGGATGATGATGATGAGCTGGATGGGAAACTCAACTACAAACCTCCTCCCCAGAAAACACTGCAGGAGCTGCAAGAGTTGGACAAGGATGATGAAAGCCTCGCTAAATACAAGAAGTCCCTGCTGGGAGATGGACCTGTGGTAGTAGGTAGGCTGAGGGATGCTGATAGGGAGGGGATGGGGAGATGTGCTGCAACAGTGTGCTGTGGGGATGAGGCAAGGTTGCTTCAAAGATGAGGGATCTTGTTTGGCCAGGGACATGCGCTGCTTGTGCAGGACTGGGGATGGACAGATGGAAAAGTGCATGTAAAAGGAGCACAGAAGATGCTATGGGTGTCAGGAGTTAGGAAGATTACTGGGGAGTGCTGGCATTGGAAAAGGATTTGTGGTGGGAGATGTATGGGTCTCAGAGGACTTTTGAGGGGTTAGGAACATGCAAGGGTCAGCCTATGCTGTAAGGTGGTCTTGTTGCTCAGAATGATCTTAAGAAGGAAGTTTTCTGTGACGGAAAGAGCACCTCTAGGTATTGTGATGGAGGCCAGAGGGATCCATGTGGAAGGACTGGGTAGGCGTGGGGTCCTATTGTGCTAAGGAAGCCTGGCATTACTGGGTGTTTCATGAAATGCAGTTTCTGCCTGGCAAGGCATCCCTGTTTCTTCAGTGTAATTCCCCTTCGATTGCATTTAATTTTGCAAGCTCAGAGCTTCTCCCTGACTTTTCCTACCTGCAGACCCAACAGCTCCCAATGTGGTGGTCACCCGACTCACTCTGGTATGTGACTCTGCTCCAGGACCAATCACTATGGACCTTACAGGTAGGCACAGGCTCTGTCCTTGCTCACAAAGGGGAACAAGCCAAGGCCCTGGCATGCTCCAAGTTAAAAGAGAGTTTGTCCATGGGATGCTACAGTGGGTTTTAGAGGAATTCTGAAGTCATCTTAGCCTTGTTTCTTATTTTAATATACACATATGAATAAAAAAGAAGGAGATGTAACAGAGGAAAATATCGAGGGTCTTTTTCTTCATCTAGACTGCTCTAGGAGCTCCTGGGTTTCTCTTGCCATCGCTGCTTGTTTCCTTTCAATGAGACTTCATGAGCACAAGGGATGTGCCTACATTTGGGTAACAGGCTGTACTGAAACTTCAGAACCGAGCAATACTGCAGTTCCGGCTCCTGGGGACGTGGGGAGAGAACCTTATATGGGCTTTTCTGCAGAGAGAGGAAGCTGGGTCTGGAGGGGCAGAGAGGCTTCCTGTTTGCCCAAAACCACGCAGCTTTCCAAGCTGGGCAGGAACTGTGAAACACACTCCTCTCACCCAAGCCAGAGCTGGGCATGGATGGAGCGTACACACACTCCTGCATACAGTCAGAAACCAGTCTGTGCATAAACACCTTTATGTACATGTGCTCATACCTGTGTTTGTTTAGGCATTACCTTCTGTGGGCACAGATACATACAAACACCCAGGAATTTCTGTGTATTCGGTCTCACGACACAATCCTGCACAGATGTCTGCATACTCATTTTACAGGTGTCATCCTTTGAAGGGATGCTCACCTCTGACAGCAGCCCCACCCCCATCTTCCCCCCTGTGCCTGGTCTCTCCTCACTGTGACACCTCTAGCTGATGGCTTGATCCTCTCCTTGCAGGTGACCTCGAAGCACTCAAGAAAGAGACCTTCGTATTAAAGGAAGGAGTGGAATACAGAGTTAAGATCCACTTCAGAGTGAGTTGTTTTCCTGCCAATTGCTTCTTATCAGTGGCTAAGGCCAGTCAGTGGCAGTCTATCAGATAACTAGAGACAGACAGCATGCGTGCCCAAAAGCTGAACGCTTGCAAACGCACCTAGCTTCAGGTGTTGTTTTACCCAAGGGATGAGGTATTTCCAGGAAATCACTTCTGCTGGCTCACCCCTTGGAGGAAGCTGGTTTCTGTTTGCTCACACTGATAAACATCAAGTGGTTTAAAAGCCAGATGGGTAGTTTTGGCTGAGTTTGGTTTTGCTTTTCAGCCACTGGAAAATCTTTACTTCACACTAAGTGGAAATGAACAGGAAGGAGAAGAGAAGCAAGAATGGCTATTCATGAAATACTGATTCAGTCAGTATTACTGGGCTTCATGTACACATTACGTTAAAAAGATGTAGTATTGTAACATTTGGCTGAAGATACCTGAATTCTTCAGGTCATGATATACCGAAATGGGCTTACTTCTCCCTCACTCCCATTAATCAGCGTGTCAGCCATTTCTTCTGTTTACAGCTGAAAATGAAACTTGGCCACTCTGCAGTGTGGCATCCAGCACTGAACTGGTCATCTCTGCCAGTGCTTGCTTCACAGCTAGGCTTGGAAGAGAAGTCAAAAAGGGAAGAAAGAGAATTCTCCTGAGACAGACGAGGGAAAGTGTTAATATTGTGGGTTCTGTAGGGCAGATTTCCTTTTTTCTTTGAGGTTTGCTGTGTCAGAGATGAATGTCCCCCAATGCTCTCCCCCAAGACACCTCCAGCTCTCTTGTGCTCTGGAATATTTCCATCTGTATGTGTGCCTTGTTGACCAGAGATACCTGAAGCCAGACAGGTTATTCAAACTCCCTCAGTTCCATGGCTGGTAAGGGCTCGTACTGTGTGAATTCTACCCTGGGATGTAAAAGGATCTGTTCATCCTGTTTTCAGATTGAGCAGTATCCATTGTGGGAGGGCGGTGTGTGCTGGAGGAGAGCAGCAGTGGATACATCCAAGCTATCCATGGGAGATTTGAGAAAAGATTATGAAAACTGTCTCTCTGTCTTTTGAGAAGAAACTTGTCAGCTCCCCATGGAGCTTAGAGGGCACCTAAAGCTGCCCACCTGTGGGGGCTAAAGGGATGACTAGTTACCCATGTATGGTTTCCAATATTAAAATTATTAAATGGGAACTCCCTGCTTCACTTTTCTTTGTCCTCATCAGCATGTCTTGAGAACCTTAGTGATGTGCTCCAGTCAGCTTCAAAGTTGGGCACAGAAAGGGGAAGTGCAGGAGATGTACAGAGGATGTTAAAGGTCTCCAGGTACCTATGGAGAAGTGTTAGGGACCTGTACAATGTGCCCTGTGCTGAGGCTCCCTTCTGTAGGGAGCCAAGATGGGTATGTCCCTGAGGAGGGGGAAAATTGTCATGTACAGAACCAAAACTCCTCTCTTGACACTTCTGGTTACTTCCTGCAGGTAAACAGGGACATTGTGTCGGGACTGAAATACGTGCAGCACACCTACCGGACAGGGGTGAAGGGTGAGTAAGAGCCCTGCATGCCCTGCACAGCACTGCTCCTGTGAAGTGTGTTCCATCTTCTCTAAGAAGTGTTCCTGCAGCTCTGGATGGGACAGAGGCTCCCTTGGTCCCGAGTCCCACCCTATGCTAACACTCAGGAGGTGACTTCTCAGCAGAGTGCTTCACCCAGGACAGCGGTTTCATGTTTTGTGCCAACTCAGTATGAGCCGGCTCTGGTACCTGTATGCTACACCACTGTCTGCAACAGCCAGGTCTGCAGAGACTCCACTTAGTGCTTGCCACAGACTGCCTCTCCATACAGAGCACTTCTCCTCTCCACCCCCTGTGCGGTGGCTCAGCCTGTGTGGAGCTTCCCACCCTCTGAAAGTTCCTCAGAAGCACTTGGTAAAATTCAGACCTGCTCTATGAAACTGCCCATTGTGTGCAGGGCCCTGTATTTACCCAAGGGTTCTCCTCAGTGCTGCTCTGCTTGGACAAGGCAGAGGAAAGCCCCATTTTGCAAACACGCACACCCCACATGCATTTTCGTGCAACCATCTCTAAGGCTTCAGCATCCTGTTCAGCACACATAACTGGTGTCTTCTCACCAGTAAAGAGAAGTAGTGGGAAATCGAAGTAGCTCTTGAGCCATACGCTGGTGTACTCACACCCTTCTAGCAGCCAGAATGTTCAGGTTCCTCCCAAATTTGTCTCAAACTGGGACAATCACATACATGTGAGGGTATACAAACCGAGTTGCCTGTTCACCTGCCCATCCATCCGTGTTATCCTTCCAGCTGTCCTTATGCTTCACTAACCTGCTGTTCGCACTGATTCTGCTCTCCTTTGCTGACGTGGACTGCTCTTTTCTCCCCCATCTCCTTTCTGCTCCTTTCCTCATTGCTTCCTCTCTCCCTTATCATTCCCATCTGAGAGGCTTATTTCCTGTGGATTGTTTTCTCCTAGTGGACAAAGCCACGTTCATGGTTGGCAGCTATGGGCCACGGCCAGAGGAGTACGAGTTCCTGACACCTATTGAAGAGGCTCCTAAGGGTATGCTGGCTCGAGGCACCTATCACAACAAATCCTTCTTCACGGATGATGACAAGCACGACCATCTCACCTGGGAGTGGAACCTGTCCATCAAGAAGGAATGGACAGAATGAGTTCACCCAATTTGCCTTCCCCCTTCCCATCCCCTTGCCTCCTGCACCAGTCTCCAGGTGGGCCATGCCCACCGCTGCTCCTGCCTGCCAGCATGGCTGGCCACAGCCCCGGCAGCCCTTCCCTGGCTGCTGGGGCTCTGTGCCAGCCTTGGTCGATGCACAGTCCTGCAGGTGGCCTTTGCTGCTTCTTCCGATACACTGAAAACAGCCCAGTCGTTCTCACCGCCACCCCATCATGACATCACTTCGGGTTAAATTGGGAAGCATCTCCCTCCCTCTCCCCCAGTACTTCCTCCTGTTGTCCCCATCTGTCCCGTACCAACTCCAGTCCTGGAAGTGCCTTTTCGAGGAAACACGATCACCTGGCAGGGGCTGACTGGTCCCTGGAAAATCCCTATCTTGAGTTACGCTTGCCATGTGCTCTGACTCATTGTAAAGGGTTACTTACCTCCCGCGATGGTCTCCTGGTCTGTATCTGGTGCCCTACCCTGTTAAAATCCATCCTTGTGCAGGCAAAGCCAATCAGGGGGAATGCAGCTAGATGCCGTAACAAGACTTCAGTGTCTGAGAATAAAACCAGTTTCTTTCTTCTTTTCTGCATGAGTGTCACATTCTTTTCTAGAGCATGTTTCTCAGTGATGTGTATGTGAAGAATGCATTATAGGAAAAGGCTAAAGAGCATGTTTCAGCAGGGAAATAGCCCTCCTCCTTCAAAACATCAGCCTTATTCTATAAGCAAATTACTTCAGAACTATTTCCTTCAGGGATTTCATGAATCCTTTGAAGCCTAAGGCCTGGGCTGTGATGGGGGTAGACTCCAGGGGTAGACAGCCCCCACCTCTCATTCCAGATGGCAACTGAAGGAGCCAGGGAGCTGTAAGATACCCTTCTCATGTTTAACACTTACTGTAGCAGCTGTTCCCCAGAGCTAATGCAAGAGTTGCATGTCCCCGTGGCTAGCCTGCTGGCCAAGCACAAGGGAACATCAGCCTCTGGGATCCAGCAGCTGGAGATGGATGTTCTTAACCTGTCTGGGGTGTCTGGTCACAAGGGTGCAGGGCAGCTGCGATGTCAAGTGCTGTGGATGAGGGCACACCACCAGCAGTGTTGCTGCAGCTCTCCAAGGCTGATTCCTGCACAGCAGGGAGGGGCTTTCTACAGCCAGGCAGTTATCTCAGGAGCTGAAGGCTTTGACCTGGGCCAGCTGCTCCCTTCCCACCGCCCCAGGAGAGGTTGTGGGTCCCCACAGCAGCTGACGTGTCTCTTGCTGAGGACTGGAGCAGGGTGGCATGGCGAGGCGAAGGCAAGCTGGTACCATGGGCTCATCCATCTTCCCGTGCCTCTTTGCTATCCTGCTTACCAGATGCTCCCCAGCAGGGTGTGCTGGAGGGAGTGACTTGGCATCCCACGGTAAGTGAGCTTTCTTCCTGCCTTGGGGAAAGTCTGGGTCTGCTGCAGGGAGTCCTCCTTATCCAAGGTATGCTGCACAAACATTGCGTTGAACTCGCAGGAGAGGTGTGTGGGTGAGCTTGTAAGGTTGGGATGCTTGTGTGTGTGTTGGGGGGCTCCTCTTTGAGCTGCTCCTTGGGTACACTGCCCAACCCTGACCTTTGCTCTGCAGGCACAGCCAGCACCACAGAGAAACCTGTCCTGTTAAACAACGTCGCAGATGCTGAAGCCTTTGTCAGCGGTGCAGAAGTGGCAGTCATTGGGTTCTTCCAGGTGTGTTCACAGCACCTCCCCTCTGCCAGCTGTGAGCTCTGTCGTCCGTCCCTGATGAGAGCATGAGGCTGGATGTGGTGTAAACACCTGCCAAAGTCAGCTCTTGTCCCAAAAGGTGCTGGGCCTGTGACAGGAATGTGGAGGGATTTGGTGTTGGGTCACAGAGAGAACACGGAATTTGGTCTGTGCATGGAAAAGGAGATGAAGCAAGGGAGGAAGATGAAGGAGGTTGTAGAAGCCCTGGAGCAGGAGAGAAGGAAATGCTGCAGGGGAAGTAACAAAGAAATGTGCATGGTAGAGGAACAGTGTTGGTGAGGGGTGAGTAGGAACATCAGTTATTTACTGTAGTCAGCAAAGACAGAGTAAGGCACTGCCTGTGTGGTAGGGGTGAGGAAGCCAAGTCTCAAGGAGAAGTGATAGTGCAGGTCCGCTGAAGTCCAACAGGGTTTGGGCTCAGGCTGCAGCCTCTTCGTAGGGAGAATGTAGGCATGGTCTTTGTCTCACTTCTTTGTTCCCCAGAGCAGACATCCTTGAGATCTGTCTCTTTTTACTAAATTCCACTGAATTCAAAGGTGAGTGACAGATTTGAGTCCTTTGCCTCCCCAAATGGCAAGAGTCTTTTTCCTTAGAAAATAGAAGGAAAATATTGAGCTACAGCACTGTAAAATGGAGGCTTCTTTAACAGGATCCTTATTACTTTTAAGGTCCCCAAATTGCAGCTTTCCCCGTGTTTTCTTTGAGCTCCGTTCTGCTCTGCTGCTGCCCACGCACTGCCTCATGTCAGAGAGAAGGCTTCAGAGCTTTCAAAATCAGCTCCTTCTGCAAGCACTTTCCTCCTTCTGCCCCGTGCCTGGGGCTGGAGGGTAGCCTAGGGAGGGCATCATGCTCTTGGATTAGAGAGGCACCCCACAGCCCTCCAGAGTGAGGAGCGATGGTGCTGCCTGTGCAGCGCGGGCAGCAACAAGTCTGGGAGCGCAGGAGGCTTATGCCCCAGGGGCTTTGTAAGCACTGATCACAGAGCACCAGCCGCCTCCAGCTCGGCGCCTGCAGGCAGCTGGAGCGCTGAAGCTGTGCAAAGCAGCCAGGCAATCTGCACAGGCAGAATGCAAGTGCCGAGACGCCTCCTTCCCCGAGGGTGGCTGGCTGGGCTTGTGGCAGAGCTGTACCCAGAGCCTCCTCCCGAGCTGCGGCAGGGACACGGCTCCTTTTGTCTTGTGCCACGGTCACCTCCCTCCGCAGGATGGCATTCTTCAGCGCCAGACAGGACTCTGAAATCCCAGCTGCCGGCAGCACGAGGCAGCAGCCAGCGACATCTCGGGCCTTCAGTGCCTGAGGCGCGACAGGCCTGCATTCGAACGGTAGATAAAGACGTATATGCGCCAGGAAGGCTTGGCTCTCGGCCTGGAAGTATATTCATCCAAATAAAGTCCACGTTCTCCGCTCACCATCAATTATTTCTCTGCCGCAGCCTTTAGTTCGCTGCAGTACGTGGCTCGGCAAGCCTCCCGTGTAATGAGCACGGCCTCCCTGACCGGGAGCAGCAGGCCGCGATGGGAGCCTCGCCCTGCTCCACAGACCCCGCCTGGCGCTGGGAAAGGCCTGAGTCAAGCCCAGGTTTCCCGGGAATGCTCCAAAACTCAGCGAGATTATTCCCACCCCAGGCTTTAGCGCTCTCAACAGAGCAATGTTGATGCACTGGCATTTCCAAAACAGGTCATGAGAGACGTTTTTTCTTTGGAAGGAACAAAGAATTTTGTTTTCCATTCTCTCTGGGCTCGCAAACAGCTGAGCTGACAGTTCAAACTAAAAAGAAAAACAAACCGATTTCCAAACAGAGACCATGTCTTGAGAATTTATATCCAATAAATAGAAGCATCAAAAATACATCACTGAGAAGTTGGGAATGGGAGTAGCAAGGAAGGCTTCAACACAGGCAAAGGCTAGTAGTAGTTAATACTCTGCAGGAAAGAGAATGGGCCTCAAAATATTGAGAAATTGCGCATTTTTATCCTTTAATACACCTAAATGAGCTCCTTTTTTACAGGATGTACATATCCTTTTAAAAGGAGCCAAGGTACTGATAATGCAAGGTGTTCAAAACTGTAACCCCCTGACTCTAGAATCAAGGTGGGCTTAAAAACTGTGACGTTTATATATAGAATTTAAAAACACACTTACACTTACACACACACACACACACATATATATATGTATGTATATGTATAGGTATAGGTATAGGTATAGGTATAGGTATAGGTATAGGTATGTGTATGTGTATATGTATATGTATATTTATATTTATATTTATATTTATATTTATATTTATATTTATATTTATATTTATATTTATATTTATATTTATATTTATATTTATATTTATACACACATATACATATATACATTCACACATACACATACACACACACACACATACACATGTATATATATATATGTATGTATAAACGTGCTACACCAGTGTTCTGGGTTTGTTCCCTCCATTTTGAGTGCCCAGGGGCTCAGCACCATCCTGGCGGGTTCCTGGATCCC